GTTTACACAGATACCAGTTGTCACAAACTATTTACAAAGCCAGACAGAAGAGAATTTCCCAGCATCTAAGAATCTCTATTTGAGTCCAGCCACCACCTCAGTTTTGTAGAATACTCATGAAATAATAGTAATTTTGGTTAGGAGGCATTATTTCTGATTTTGTCTCAGTTTAACTGATTATATTTTACATTCATGTGTAATTATCTGGAGAACTGAACTCTACAGGAACCCCAAAGCCTTTTCTTTTCTTGGATAGGAAATGCTATCATAATGCTGTTAATTTTCCAGACTAAGAGAATCAAGGTTTAAACACTAACTTCAGACTGTTGGTAATACTGATATTTCCAGAATTAAAACAACACAGCCAGGCTGTTGCATGAAAACTGTAAAAGTCACTAGAGAGATAGATGCAAGGTCTTCAAAGCACATGTTGCAGCTAACTAACACACATGCTTCAGGATTAAGGTTTCAAAAAATCTTCACCAAATTCGCTTGACTTACCCAGATAATAAACGGTTTCTAGAAATAGCTCTAGATGGCATTTTAGAGAGACCATATCTATCTGGAACATCATGGTTTGATAACACAGGGTAAGTTTACATGGCAATGATAGCATCAAATAGTAACAGCAAAAGTTGGAAACTATATTCTTTGACATGGCGAAATTCTTATGCTCCTATAAAAGTGTATCCCAGAACAACAAATAAAAGGATAGAGAGTAGTCATAAAGTATTTCAACTCTGAGAAAAGGACATCATACTTCACAGATTTATTACTTATGAAGAGATTACTTTATTCTCTAATTCTATATGTAGAATTGAATGTATATGTAGAATTGAATCTGTATGTAGAAATGAATTTAAATAATATTTCAATTATGATAGAATAGTTAACAATGACATTGATTAAGCATTGAAGTGGATTACTAGAAAGAGTTTTGATTTTAGACAGGAGGGAGGGATCAATAGATTGGTTTTATTTTTAAGTTTTCATCTTCATAGAGATAAGTTTGAATCAGAAGTGAAAATTTGATTTTTGTTTAATATTTTTAATCAACTAGCATGCAAAACAGATTTGTGGCATTATATTAGCTTATCTGTTCATATTTCCAAATGCATTTCTTTCAAAATTTGGTGGGCAGTAACAAGTAAGCTCACCTAAAGCTTTTAGTAACGTCATCCTATTTCACTTCATAAAGATCTTTATCTTGGGCTGGAGTAGTTAAGGGTAATAATTAAACACTAAATTTAGAGTTAATAAGTACTACCTTCTCATTTGGAACAACAACTAATCCAGAAATTGTATTTAAGTTGGGCTTTGAATAAGGGGAAAATTTTTTCAAAATACAAAATCTTAAAATTCATCCTAAAAACTCAAAGTGCATTATGCCTATGACTTATTCTCAACTATTTCAAAAAAAATGTGTATGTATAGGTAGAGAAAAATAATGGAACTATGCTAACATGTTAGTTTGTAAAGGAATTTGGATAGGAATTTTTAGTGCTTGTTTTACAATTTTGAGAGACACAATATCAGAAATAAAAAGGTAAACAGAAGACAATTATTCTACCATTATTTTTTGTCAGCTTTGTTATCTGTTTTTTGTAGCTTCTGCTGTCATTGAGAACTTGTGCACTTGGCTCCCATTTTTCCTGTCACTTCCTTGCCTTTTTTTCTGGATGGCTTTAGTGCTTCAGAAGCAGTCCCTCAATTCTTCCTCTCCAAATACCTTTATCCTTGACCTGTTTCATTAACATGTTTCTGAATGAACCACATTGTAGACTTTGTCCTTACTTGGTATTTGCTTTAGGAACTTTCATTCTCAATTTCGTTATTATAGTAAGAAAAATATCTCATATTTTCTGAATTCATTTTTTTCTGTAATGATTCCTATTCCTGTTCTCATATTAATTTGTCAAATTTTTATTTATCAGCCTAACTCTAGACCTTTTGTAATTCATTTTTTTGCATTTTCCTACTTACCTGTTTTGGATCAAATTCCTTTGTAAAATCTTCCTATAGTTTTCATTTGAATCCGAGTATGTTTGACATATTATATGGTCTATAGCCCTAACGAAGTCTTATTACATTGGATTCAAATCATTACATCAGTAGGCCATCCTCTTTGTATTACAGAATCTTTGTGGGAAGTGTCTATTTCTTGCTTATATTTGTTTTTCCCAGTATTCTGTCTCAGGCACAGAACACTGTAGGGCTTCCCTGAATGATCAGTAAATTGTTTAATAAGTACATTAATTAGAAAGATGAAACTTTTTGTACAAGTGATTGAACACTGACATACAGTAATGCAGTATGGCAAAGAGAGAGAGAACACTGAAAACCTTCCAAGAATTTAACAGTAATTTCTTGAAATCATATTTGCCAAGGTAGTTGCTAAAGACAGAACAAAATACAGAAAGGTGGAACATTTTTATAAATCAATCTTGTCCACTCTAAATTCTCAGTAGAAGAATACAAATGGTCTGATTTGCAGAACAGGATTTAAATGTGTGAGGAACAGTTCAAAAGCTTTTACTACTGAACAAAATTTAAAATATCCAGAAATAGAGCCAAGTCACCCAGTACAGATTTTTAAAAATATTGTAGAATTAAATTTTGGAAAAGTGTCAGAAATTGATGAGCTTACTTTAATAATACTTTAAATTATTAAAGAATCCATGAGGGATCAACAAAGAATCCTTTTATTGGAAAATGTACACAACTGTTTTAAGAATTTGGAGAAGATAGCCCAGCAGGTGAAGTTACGGTGATTTACCAAGAATTCAGGGAATCACAAAATTTGACTTCAGAATAGGTTAAACCTGAAGAAGGAGAGCTATAAAACTAGTAAGCATATACCAAGTACAGAAATCAGAAAGAAGAAAGATACTGACCTAGACCTAAAAATGCAGATGAAAAGCATGGAACAAATTGCAGATAATGTTACAAATGAATTCAGATGATTCAGGTTAAGGACTGAAGTAGATGGTGTGGGAGCTGGAAACTTTTATAGCTGGCAGAGTTTCTGGATTATGCCATTTCCTTTCTGAGGATCTTTGTACCTCATGAACTGGGAAATAGTATAGGCCAAAAGAGTTCTTTATTGTGTTGCTACAATTCTGTTATTTTGACATTTAAGTAACTATAAGTTTTTCATTTTAATTGTTTACAAACATAAATGTTGGTGTTAAAAAGGATTTTGTAATAAAGTCATGTTATGAAGGGTTTTCTTAATATCCATTTATAAAACTCAATCAGATTTTGAGGCCAGTCGTAGAAAAGTAGGATGGTAAGTGAACATCTAAAACAAAACAACTATTTTGAAGTGCCATAAACTAGCTTCAGACATACAATTTCTGTTCTTATATGTATTTTAAAATTTGAAAAAAAATTTTTTGTCCTTTTTGAGACCAGTTCTTGCTATGTGGTCCAAGCTGGCCTTGGGCTTACTTTGTAGCCCAGGCTGATCTGGAACTTGCAGTGATGCTCCTCAGCCTCTTGAGTGCTGGGTTACAGGAGTGAGCCCTCATGCCTGGCTGTTCCTGTAAGTACTAAAGTTTAAACAGAATATGCTGTTGAAGTATCATGGCTGATCTATGTACATAGTTATGATTGCACATCCTCTCCTCTATTTCATACCCTCAAAGTGAAATCAAGAGTAATTTCCCCAAAGAATTCTGAGTTAACTTCTAGTTATTGATAAGAATCATATCTACACTTGAACCTTGAAACTGCCTAAAGCAGTCACAAAGAATTTATTCAGGATAAATAATTTATAGAAGGTGCTTTGTTTATAAATGCCCTTATTTCCTTTTATTCTAAAATAACTTTCTTTTGCATGGAAAAACATTTTAAATTTCACAGGTTCAAGAATGCATCACTAAAAAGGATATGGGCCAGGTATGGTGGCACACACCTGTAATCCTAGCACTCAGAAGGCTGAGGCAGGATGATTCCCATATAGTCAAAGCCAGCCTGGTCTGTAGTGAGGTCAAGGCCAGCCTACATGGCATAACAAGACCCAGTCTCAAAAATCACCCCTCCAAAAAAATAAAAAGCAGGTAATATGCTTTTAAAGTTAGAAAATTATATGTATTGGAATTAACAAAATACTAACTACAGTCAGCACTTATGCCTGTCGATCTAATTTGCTAGTGACAGTGTTTGTGTTGCATGTATGTTATGTGATTCCTCTCAAATAAGTTTAGTATACCATTAAGTGTAGACTATTTAAGATAGCTATCATTTACTAGTTACAGCTTAAAGTAATTTTTGTTTAATAGCCAGGCATTGCAAAGTAGATGTCCTTGTATATATAATACATATCTGATAAAATGACAAAAGTGAATTGTAAATAATTCACTTAAATCCAATTTAATATAGAGATGTCTATAAAATAATAGCTAACATTTATTGATGTGATAGACAGTAGGCTGTGTACTTTATATGCATTAACTCAGCCCTCACAGCAACCTAAATAAATACTGTTATGTATGTGTTTTGCATATTGGAAACTGAGACATGAAAGATCTAAATAATTTGCCCAAGATTAAGACTTGATGAAGCTGTTATTCTAACCCAGGGAGTTTGATCTCAGGGTTCCATGTATATTACCTCTTTGCTGTATTTGTTAACTCATTGTTTCCTATTTTGAGAAATCTAGACTATAATACCAATGAGCCTGGTATTGAGTATATGCTAGGATCATCTGGGGAACTTCAAATATATGAGACAGATCTCTGCTCAGAAGTTTTGACTCACTTAATGTATGGTTTGGTGTGAGCCTTGGGATTTAAAAAACTTCTTGTGTTATTGCAAGGTATAGCCAGGATGTGGACCACTATCATAGATGTCTCTTGACCATAGAAATGGGAACTTGTTTTATTACAGTTAAAGCAAGACTAGTAAGTATGTGTTTCCAGCTACAAGAGTGATTGTTTCTACAAAATATTCATTTGGCTGAATGATTTTTAATATATGTTTTATTTGTTTAAATATAGGTATAACCCATGTTAATACTGAACGGGACTCTACGGGAATAAATAAAAGTACACAGCTAGATGAACAACTAGCCATGAATTCTGAGGGAAGCTTGATTCAGAAATCCAGTGACTTAGTTAATGAAGTCACAAATGAGGACACTGAGCTACTGGGGCAGAGACCACGGAGTTTTCAGGTCGTTGGTTATAATCCAGAAGATGAGACACTTGAAAAGTGCAAGTGAGTAGTGCCTTAAGCCTTAAATCTAGAAGTCAAAAACTGGAAGAACTTTTTCTCTCTTCATTTAGGTGGGAGCTAAATTTGACATGCCATTAATTTATGTGAATGTAGAGAATCTGCTAGCGTTTTTTCTTGTTTCCATGATACTGATATGATGTGTCCAAGTAGCTAAGTGGAAAAGCACACAGTGAGTTTGAAGGAGGACAATAAGGTTTATCCCTTGTTCGGTGTTATTTTCTGTGACCTTAAATTATGAATTATGAATGTGGAAATAATTGTTAGATTGATTTAAATAGGTTAGTATTCATCAAAGCCAAAGGCTGGCCACAGCTGTAGGATAAATTAAGCCCAATTTATGTTTTGGTTTTGGTTAGCACCATTTTGCATCTAAGTGAATCTGGAAGCTTTATAAAGGACCTAGTACTCTCTTATTTGCTTTCCTTATTATTTCACTTTCTATAGCGTTTATCCATCCGTCATGTCTTTCTCATGAAGGAATCTGAATTTTGTGATACTTGTGACTTTCGTCTATGAGATTAAGATATTTTGATAATTAGTCCTGTGGTATAAAGCTACAGTTTGAATATAAAAAATTATGTTGTCAGTCTGGACAGAATCATATTTTGTAGAATACTATTTTAACAGAGTTTTTAAAATATAAAGTCCTATTACTGTTTGCTTGCAAATTATTTAGAACATTTGTGAATATTATCACATGATGAAGTAGATACTATATTGATAAGTTCCTCTCCTGAGGTGCATTTTGGGATGTGTTGTAGGCAACAGAAACAGAATGAATGAAGAAGGGGTAGATTTTTTTATGACCACATAGGGAGAACAAATAGTGGAGCTTAGTTTGAAGCCAGATTGTGAATTCTCTGGTATATTTGCAATACCAGATAAATTGTAAGTAGTGCTGCTCTGACCACCCCAGGCCTCACTGCTAAATTTCTCTTTGTGACTCCAAGATTTACCTGTGCTTAAAAATTTAATACAATGCCTTCAAACATCTCTTTTCCCTTCCCTTTCTTTATATTACTTTTTACAGATTAATTCTGTTCTCAAATAGCATACCAAATGTTTTTTTAAAAAAATATTATATACTTGCCCTTAAATATTTGAGGAATACATTTTTCATGTTTTGAATAAAGGAAATGAGATACTTTCCATCTAATTTTGCAAATTATTGAACTATAGTTCTCATTTTGATAAAAATAAGAACTATAATGAAAATCCTAACCAGAGATACAAATTGAATTATTAGAGCTTGTAAAAGCTTTCCTGAGTACTACATACTGGACTACAGGATCGCTGACTAAATGCTTTTCACAAATTTAATTGTCACGGTTCATAATTGGTATCTCTCTATGAAATTGATATTTTTTACCCATAGTATTTTCTTAATATAGCGTAAAAGAAATTTAAAATTGGATACTTTTTTCCATAAGTAATTTAATGTTTTCATTTGAAGTATGGAATGTATAGATCTTACATAACATCATATATATGTATTTACTAGTTTTCTTTCTTACAGCATTATGGAGCATAGAAGTAATGATCTACATTATGAATGTATGATTCCTTATCAAGTTACTTCAGATGTAAATAAAGAGACAGTAGCATTTCTTCTAAAAGAATTGGATATGCTCAGAACAAGCAATAAAAAGGTATAATGTAGTAAGTGTGATCATTTTACAGTGTTCTTTCAGCATTGGGCCTAAATTTTCTTTGTTGCCCATTATCTTTCAGCTTTTATTATATACTTTATACTGTTGCCATTCTCTGCCATCCGAATATGATTAAACTAAATAATTAGCTATGAAAATAAAGTTTTTGGCTTCCTCCTTTGCTGATCTCTATTGTCATTTTTTTATATATAAACCTAAGGTACCATGTATAGGTATCTACCAAAAACAAGGCTCAATCAAGTTTTGCTATTGTAAATCTTTGCTTCAACATTATGGAAAATGAGAAATGTTAGGTACTGGTTTTATGTTACTTTCTTAACTTTTTTTATTAATATCTGTGTCCTGTGTTTCACCTCTAAAATACAGCAAATGAAATACAGCAAGTAAGCCTTGGTGATATTGTCACTTAGCTTGTATTGTATACCATTGCATTTTATACAGTCCCATTTGTCATATTATGTTTTTTTCTTTTCCTTTTTTTTTTTTTTTTTTTTTTTTTTTTTGTCTTTTTCCTTTTTATCGGTACCGGGGACCAAACTCACGACTGTCTGCTTGCAAGGCAGGTGCTTATGCCGCTGAGCTAAATCCCCAGCCCCTATGTTTTATTTTCTTCTTCCAATTTTTGCTCTAATTACACTCCTCTGAGCCCAAAGTAATATTAAATAATGTCCATTTTCTATGCCTTCCTTTTTCAAAAAAACTATGTACTTTTTTCATTTTAATACTGTATTTTTCCTGATTTTATTGTTCTTATTGTTTGATGTAATCAAAATGAAGTATGACGTTAGGAATGTTGATCATCTCTGAAGAAAAACAAAACAAATGATAAAAGCCTACAAAAGAATTTTTAAAAAACCGGAAGCATTCTGCATGAGAGCATGAGACATTTTCTGTACTTTCATTTAGCAGTTATTCATGCCAGTTATGAGTCAGATGCCAGTGTCAATTTAAATGGAATATGATGAGAAAACATTCACAAAAGATTTGTATCAGATATTAAGATGGTTATCTTTATTCATTTTGTTTCAAAATATTGGAATTACTAAGAGAAGCTGTAAAACATGCTATCAGTTATTTATTAGGAAAACGCCTTCTAATGTTTTGCTTTAAAACAAGAGAATAGATGTGATTGTTTTTGCAGTTTTTTTAATAATGTCTTTCTAAATTGGTTTTTATAATATCCTTATCATTAAAATTATCTATTATTTTATGAAATATTTTGCAACTTTAATTTTTTTCATTTGAATTTAATATATTTAGTAAGTTCAATGTAATGTTACAGAGTGGTTACACAAAGGTTTTGGAAGAAACAAAATTTTGCTTTACAGTGGGAGACATTTGCCAGATAAAATTAACATGTTTTTAATGTCTTTTAGCTTCAAGAAAAACTGACTAAAGAAAATAAAGAACAGAAAAAATTAACGCTTAAGCTGGAACTCCAAGAAAAAACAATGGAAGCTAAAATTGCTGAAAAGACTTCAGGTATAATATTGAGTGTTAACATACAGCCTGGAGAATCATCCAGAGGTTTTTATATGATGTGTCTTGGTGACTAGCATGCTGCCTTATTTGCCAAAGGAGGAGAAGCTCCGTCCTTTTTTTTTTTTTTTTTTTTGTGGCTGCTTAGAAAATAGGTGGCTTTAACATCCTGGTACTGGTATTAGTGAAAGCTTTACCTGTATTCATACTGATTTGGGCATTAAATGCATTGTTAACACCATGTCAATCCAATCACAGAAAGGTTGTTTGTTTTGTTGGAAGGGCCTGAACAAACAAGGGGGAAATAATGATTACCAGTGCCTCTACCTTTCAACCAGCAGTTCAAATACCACTTATTGTTTTAGCTTGTTGAGAGGAAATACTTCTCCTTTGTATGAAGATAGTCATATATTCATTGCCAATGGAAACGTGCATTTGATTCAAAAACCTCTTTTGTGCGATTAATAAGTTAACATCTGATAATGATAGATATGTTTTCTCTGAGATTAAAGTGAACCCTTGCCACAGTTAGTGTTATCAATCATTGCCTTAAATATATTCTGGAGTCTATCTTTACTCATAGGTCTTTGCAAGGAGAAAATTTTTCAGCATATCTGTGATTTGTTACAGATATGATCAGGTAATTTTAGACTATGATCTTCATCTTGTGAGCCCCTGTGACTCAGTCCCACATACTGTTTTTGTGTGCTGAGGAAGATGAATTTCATTTAAAAAATAGACATTAGCATTCACAAGCATTTGAGAGATTACTTATTTAAAATTTATATATCATTTGGAATAATTTTAGGAAATACTGATATGATTACTCTGAGATTATAAAAACTATGGTTTCCAAGCCACTTAAATTGGTTATTTAATGTATGGGAATATTAAGGTAGAAGTTTGATGAACTACTATAAGCCTGTCTTCAAAATATTACTGTGGTAAATAGAAGTAACCATTACTTTAAAAATGTAGCCAAGATGATCATAAATAACTATTCCAACTGAATGCCAGATAGTTATTTTTCTGTTAACACAGCTAGAAAGTTTTGGTGTTTTAGTTTGAAATATGAGAGTAATATATTTTAAGGATAATTAATAATATGTTAAAAATAAATAATTCAAGGTTTAGAATATAGGTTTAGGGCAACTTGAAAGTTTCCTGATTTTTTTGAGTCATACATACTCACACAAGAAGTGCATTTGTGTCAAAGCACACATACAAATTTATCTTTCCATGTGTTTTGCAAAAGTAGTTGGATAGGGACTGGAAATACAGCTCACTGGTATAAGTACCTGCTTTGCAAAAGTAGTTGGATATTTTAATAAATCTGCAGAGCCTGTTTATTTCTGGTTAGGAACTCATTAGCTCTAAATATTTACTGTTTAACTTTTATATAATAAACTCCAAATATTTATTGATAAACACTTAAGTATTCTCTATGATTGAGCAATTTAAAACATGTATGCACAAAATGGAAAGAATTTGGTTACTGTTTATTGTTAATCATGTATTTATCAATAATAGCAAAACATTATTTTAAGAAATGTTAACTATATGAAAGTTGTTTAATGTATTTTTATAACTGCCTAACTTGATTTCTGAAATAAAGCAATCTGCAGACACTTATCATAAAAATGATACAAAATGAAAACCTAAAGGTTTTAAAAAATTAGTTTTCAAAATATATCTGTAGTTCATATATTTCACTTATTTTGAAAAGGCTTAATCTACTTTACTTGAAACAATAGGGAAGATTATTCTTATAATATCATATTTTTATTTTAATGAAAATAGAACCAAACAAAATAAAACAGAATAAAGCCAGTCAAACAAACAAATGTAAGTGACACAGGACTTCAAAACAATAGGAAATCAACAATGATTACCATAAAGCCACTTGTTATCTTCAAAATAGCTGTAGAAACCTTTAAACATAGTAAAAATCAAACCAAACAGAACAGAATAGAACCAATAAAAACAAAACAATGAGTGCAATAAAGGACTTCACAATAAGACAATAGTAAATCCAAAATGGCTGCCATAATATATTTTGTTAACTTTGAAATAGCTGTCTGTGCCATCCGATGTAATAAAATCAAACAAAACAAAACAGAACAAAACCCAACCCAAGAAAACAGTGAAAATGATATAGGACTTAAAAAACAAGGTAACAGAGAATTAACAATGACCACCACCTTCAGAAGGAGATGCTCTATAGATGCTACATTGCATATTGTTATCCTCTGAAGAGATATCAGGCTACCAGCTTTAGATCTGCAAAGTCAGTGAAACACTAAACACTACAAGCATTAAATTGTATTTTACATCTGTAGCTGTCATTGCAGGAAGCCTGTGTTTCTTCGGATCAGGAGGTCGTTTATGGGGATGGTGGGGAGGAGTTGGCTCTTGTTTCCCAGCCCATGTATTGGAAGGGGCTGGCGTCTGACTGTCCTCCCAGTGGCCTGCACATGGTACAGATTCACAGGGAGGGTTTGCTTTTTGTTGACTTTTTGTTCTTTTCATGATGTCATACTTTTAGCCTCCCATGTTGGCACATTCTTGTAATCCCACCTACTCAGGAGGCTGAGACAGGAGGATTACAAGTTTTGGGGGAGCTTTCAGAAAGGATATATTGAATTGCTTGGGAATGCACTTTGATTAATCTGCCATAAAGAAAGATTAACTTGAAATATTTGTAGCTGGATGCACTAGTGAGACCATACTCAAGTGAAATAAATCTGACACACATGTAAATACACAGTATTTTCTGTGTGAGAAACCAAAAGTGTAAATATGAGTAAAATGTATAACATATATTGTGAGACAGAAAGAAAACATTCAAATTGAGAGGTTAACTACAGAGGAAGAAAGGGAAAAGGAAAGAAAGGAAAGTAAAAAAATGAGAAAAGAAGGAAAAAATAGGAACAAAGTGTTTTTCTTTTTTTCTTTTTCTTTTTTTTTTTTTTTTTTTTTTTGAGGCAGGGTCTTGCTATGTAGATCAAGCTGGCCTTGATCTTCCTGTCTCAGCATCCTGAGTGCAGGGATTGCAGATGTGTGCCAAAAGCTTCTGTAAATAAAGAGTGGAAGAGGAGTTGAAGGAAAGATAGGGAAATGGATAAAAAGAATTATGTTATGCCATATACAGGTCCAAATTCCCTGTGATGAGTGTGATAACTATGTTTACCTAAAATACACCAGCGAATTTGAAATAAAAAAAAAAAGAATGCACTTGTTTGAAACTACAGTTACTTCAATCTCGTGGTGGCTCTTAAAGTTTTTTCATAATTTATCATTACACGATTATATATATATATGTGAACATACATGAATATGAGTAAGAATTCTTTAAAAAATTTATCTCCTTGATAAGTACCAAGTGCAGTCAGAAAGCAAGCGCATCAACAAAAGCGACCATGTCTATTAATAATAACAATGTATACCAGTGATTCCATGTTGTGCATTCTTGGTTTCTTCTAACATGAAAGAACAAATAATTCATGTAAGTGTGGATGCTTGTTTCTATCATTACTTGCTTCTGTAGTCAAAAAGTGATTTTGGTAAAGTATGGTATGCATATGCATACATCTTAGTATGATAATATTCTTAAGCAAAACATAAATGCTTAAAAAATTAGATTACTCCATGCACACACACAAAAAAAGTAGTTGTAAGTAAACACTGAAAATGGGAAGTAAGATACAGAAGTGTATATCTAGATCTGAGGGTATAGCTTAACAGCATAGCACAGGCCTGGTGAGCATAAAGTCCTGAGTTCAAAGGGGGAAAAAAAGGAAAAAACATATATATCTATAGATTTTAAAATGTTAATTAAAATATGAAGTAGTCTAAGGAAATACTACTTTTATATATAAAATATAAAGTTTTTTTTTTTTTTTTTTTTTTTTTTTTGGTCTTTTTCGTTTTTATCGGTACCGGAGATCGAACTCACGACTGCCTACTTGCAAGGCAGGCGCTTATGCCACTGAGCTAAATACCCAGCCCCTAAAATATAAAGATTTTATGTAAGGATATTCAGTATTCCTCCTATGGCAAGATAATTAATTGAACAGTAAGAGAATTGTTGAATTGTAATTATTAAATTATAATTATTGTGTATTGATTAAAAACTGTTGAAGATATTTGATAAAATGCAGAAAACTAAGCTCAATGTTAAGTAAAAGAAGCAGAGGAAAACTACTTGCAATTTAATTGTGTTAAAAGTTATTCATACATATACATATGTATTACATAAAGAAACAAATTTTGCTGGTTTTTAAATGGAGATACTAATGGTTTGGTGAACAATTCAGATTTTCAGATTTTTTACAATGGACATGTACTAAATTTACTTTTTGAAAAGTAAGCATTACTTTCAAAAGATGGGATATATTAAAGAATGATATCATGCTAATCTTAAAATAATTTCTGTGATAGGACTAAGACATAAAGACCATATAAACCAAAGTTTTATGAGAACCATATGATGGCTATGACCCAGTTTTGCCATTTTACCCATGCTGTTTTTTTAGTCTTTCAGATTTCCCTCATATTTATTTTTTATGTGTCTATGGATATCATGTAGTTTATGTATATATTAATCCATCTTGTTTTACCAGATCATTGTATAATTTATATAATATGGTACAGTTAAAAACCACATAAAACTACATGTGTCCAGTTCACAGGCAGTTTGAAGCAACTAGCAAAATGGAAAGAGTTGGAATCAGATTGACCCAGGTTGAATCACAGTGTTGACACTTAATATTGATTGTATACCTGAGCTGCTTAGTTACTTAGCTTCTTCAAGCTTACTTTTTCACATGGAAAATGAATATCAACTAATTTACCAGATTATTTTAAGGATTAGGGATAATACATGAAATCCTCAGATACATAGCTCAGTAAGTTGTAGCTTTAATATAGTGTTATATTACTTTATCTTCAGGAAATTCTTATTTTTGGTGTCTTTATGGACAAAAGTCATAAAAGGATGTTTT